ACCTTACGGCCGTGTTAGCTCTCCCTAGAGTCTGTACGTACAAACTGCTCTTCCAAGACTAGGAGGAAGTGGAGAGATTTGTACTGCAGTAGTGATGAGTAGTGGTTGGTCACAGTCAAGACATCACCCCACTAAACTGAATCAGGGCTTAAATTGGAAATGTGTTCGGCCGCAAAACATGTGAGTCTGATACCTTACCTTCACCACTACTACTACTACTACAGTACAACTAGTACTACTACAATACTATTACTACTATGAATAATAATAATAGTTTTTATAATTATTATAAAATAAGAAATCCAATAAGCAATAAAAATAATAATTGTTATACAATAATAAATAAATTATTAATATTATTATTGTTATTATTATTATGTATTAATTGCATTGTTAATTTATTCTTCTATAAATTTAATTAAATTATGTTGTGACATTAATGATATAACAGACATAACAAACACCATTTGCTCCGAGCCTTAATTGTCTTCATTTTACATGGCAGTTCTGCTATCCTTCTTTTTTTTTTTCCTTCTTTTAAATATTTGTAGACTAAATAAATACTTTTGAGAAACAAACTCTCTCAGAGTTCAGGTGTCAGTTGCTGTTAAATCACTCCTGTCCAAAAGAAAGAAAAACACGGATTTACACAGCTGACGTACTTTTCTCTGCACATATTTACAATGTCAAGTTTCAGGTCAAGCATCCAGTCGCACACACACACACAGTGTCAAAGCCTGACGTCCCAGTGTGTAGAGAAGGGGATTAGCAGGGAGTCTGGCTGATTGACAAGAGTCTTGGTGAGTCATGATGACCCACAGACAGGTTGTTGTCTGGAGGACAACACTCCCTCCATCTTTTCCAGGTCTTTGTTTGTTCCAACATCTGAGGCCGACCCTCCAGTCCAACCAAACAAACCACCGAGGTTGAAGGAAAAGAGAAGGAGGGAATCTGGATCTGAATCTGGATCTGAATCTCCCCGACTTTCTAAACGTGCATCAGCAGCTAACAAACGTCATTTTATATAGAAAATAAAGATATCAGTTTGAAAAGCTAAATATTTGTCACTCAAAAACCAAGACACGATGTATTTTGCAAATGTAAAAAAAAGACGTTGATGTTTGTCTAACGTCCCTTAACATTTAAATAATTAAACCAAAAAACTACAATAACTCAGACCCCCCACCCTCCCCCCCGACCCCTCACTTCCTGTGTCCGTACCATCTACTGTCAGGTCGCTGAGTGCTCACAGATCATCGCTGCGTCTTAAGATAATTGTCCAGCGGAAGAAGCGATGGTCGGCCATCAGCTCGTCCACTTCCTGTCTACGCTACACTTCCTGCTCTTTCCATTTACTCGACAACTCGTCACGTTTTGTGCCGCTTTAAACAGCGCAGGTTCAACAACACGTGTCACTTCCTCCTCCTCCTCCTCCTCTATCCACACGCTCTTTTCTCCCATCCTTCCATCCTTCCCTTCTTCTTTCTTCTCCTCCTTATTTTTCCACTTCTGCCACCCTCCCTTCTCCTCCCCTCTCCTCCTCTCCCTCCCTCCTCCTCACTCCCCGCAGTGTCTGTGCTCTGACAGTTATGTGTGAGTGGAGCGTGGGCTGCTGCTAATTTGTGCAGAGTGGGAGAAAGCTGTTTTGGCTGAGAGAGGAAGAGCCAAGTTTAGCTTATTTGGTTTTTCCACAGATAACAAAACATTCACTTGTTCTGTTCTTCACGTCCAGATGAATCACAAACCTCACCTGGTATAAGAACGGCGATGAATATGGATTTTTTTTTTTCTTTCCTGGTAACCTACATTGTCAACCACAAACACGTCAGTCACTACTGATATCACACACACACACACACACACGCTGCGTCATTAATAAATGTTTATTTTTTTCACATCGTCTCTAATGAGCACTGATTCTCAAAGCCACACGACTTCAACCTCTTACATCATTCTGTGCCATGTTTAGTCACCCTGCTTAATATGCATTCAAATCTGTCTCCATCACCGAGCCTCCCTCTCTCTCTCTCTCTCTCTTTAAAAACTACAACTTTTCAATTTCATATCATGCCTGAAACAGCGGTTACCAAAATCGATCGTCAACAGAAAACAGAAAACTTAATTAAAAATGTGGGGGTCAGGTCCACCAGGGGGGTCACAGAGGTCGTGGCCTTTTTTTAAAAACTTGACTCGTGAAGTCAGGATGAGCCAGAATCCATAAAAGTCAAGTCCAATAAATATCCATTAATGTCAAATGACATCAAGTCTATTTAGGTCGATTACACTGATGTCTATTCAAGTCAAATCCATCAGAGTCCAGTCCAGTCCAGTCCAGTCCAACACAGTCTAGTCCGATCCAATACAGTCTAGCCTAGTCCAATTCAGTCCAACCCAGTTCAGTCCAGCCCAGTCCAGTCCAGTCCATTGAAATTTAGTCAAGTCCAGTCAACGTTTGTTTTTATTCTCAAAACATGTTTTGCTTCAGTAAACAGTCATCACATTATATTAAAACTAAAATAAGTCACTGCTTAAAAGAACGTTAGATTTTGTTTTTATTCTCAAAACATGTTTTGCTTCAGTAAACAGTCATCACATTATATTAAAACTAAAATAAGTCACTGCTTAAAAAATAAAAATAAAACTCAAAAATGTAGCAATGTTCATGTTTATCTACTCGTGTACTTTTGTGCAGTTTAGTGAAGATTTGCATCGTGTTCAACAACAACAACCAAAAAAAAAAATCTCACAGTTTGAGTTTGTATCCGCACTGACTGCTGATGTCAGCAGCTCCTTTGGTTGATTTGAATTGATAAGAGAAGCAAAAACACTTCTTTGTTGTCGAAGTCACTGAAGTCTCCAGTTATTTTAAAAACTTCAACCAATTGATTTTTTAAAGCCTAATTGTATTTAACCACAGAGTCTTATGATGAGACATCTGCTCTAACGTCTGTGAAGTCCACTCAGAGGCGTGGACTGGATACAGCCGATATTTCAACTAAAACAACAAACAGCCAAAAGGTCAAAAAACATCATCATCATCATCATCATCATCATCATATGTTCACAGTCAACGGCCCAATGAGCAGACAGATCTGTGCATGTGACAAAAACCAAGGCGTTCTGAAGCAGATGGTCTCCTCGGAGCCCTGACCTCCTCACCATGGAGTCAGTCTCAGATCACATGAGCAGACAGAGGACACGGAGACACACTGAAGACATACACACCAGGGTCGGAGGTACTTTAAGGTATCAGCTGAGTACAGCCGAGTAAAAGGACTGATAATGGATAAATAGAAAAGTCTGTCTGGAGACATTCTCATTTAAAATGTTTAAAAACATCTCAAACTAGCTAAGCTAAGATGCTAAGCTAAGCATCCTTTCTACAACTGAACGCACGCAAATACAACACAACAAAACGAGTAACAACTAGGGGTGTATCAAGAAGGAAAACACTGTTACGCCGTTATATCGCGATATTTAGTTTCACGATACTGTAGCAGTACTTCTCCAGCAGAGGTTTGTACGAAGGACCGTTCGCCCCGTATCAGCCGTTACTGTGTACCGACAATACCGCGCAATTGTTGAAGAATCGATACCGAATCGAACCGATTTTCAAAAATAAAAAACATCTTTTAGACTTATTTTGACCTGTTGTTTAAAAACACTGGCTTTTAAAACAGTAAAGGGATATGACTGTATTTTTTTGGAATGAAGTAAATTAGTAAAACTGAATTTTCCTTCCTTCCTTCCTCCTTCCTTCCAAAACGACCTATGGCCCACGGACAGGGGGTTGGACCCCTGTTCTACATCACTGTAGATCCCTCTGTTCCAATGTTAGTAACCTGATGTCATAGATCACACTTGGACTACAGTTAACCCAAAATATGGTCGTGCCTATGATATCGCGATATATCGCATCGTTGCCACTGTATTGCGATACGTATTGTTTCGCCAGATTCCTGCCAATACGCGTAGAACCCAAGGCTACGTCAGCCCAACACTGGACCATAATACTAACTTACTGAACATTTACACAAAAAGAGTGAAAGCTTGTGTAGTTCAAACCTTGTTAGTCACGTGACGCTGTGTCTTGTTGACATGTGACTACTGAGATTAAGCTTTGACGTGGTTCCACTCCTGCACCGGACCAAACCTGCGTTTAACAGGTCGTGGCTCCACATTTATGACAATGCTGCATCAGCAGGTCCGCCCGCCACACCAGGCAAACATGCTGCCTGTGGGCTGAGGACCAGCTGATGGGGTGAGATCATCATGTGTTCCTGTCATTATCAGTGTGAAGTTCCATCAAAACGTCTCCCATCACATGCACACAGCACATGTGCCGTGCAAATTCTAAAAAAGGGATTTGGACACCGAGTAAGTCATCGCTGACCACTAAAGACACCGAGACAAGTACACACCGGTGTACACACACTACGGCTCTGTGTCACACCTTAACCACCAGATACTGAAGTACTACACAGTATTACTGTGGTACATTACACACCAGAGAACCCTAAGAGATATGACGGCATCGATGACTCAAACCTCAGTTTGAAGCATTGTTTCCCAAAGACTGGGTCGTCTCTAATTGTTCAGATAAGACTTGGTCAACATTTAAATATCCTCATTAATGTTCAATAACGGTGTAATTAATTAATAATTTATTTTGTGATTTACAAATAATGTCTATTGACTTGGGTCGCGAAGGTTTTTGACTTTTAAAAGAATGGGTCCCCAGAAAAAAAAAAAGTTTGGGAAACACTGGTTTAAAATACACTGTACAGCAATGATCGTCAACTGGTGGCTCACGGACCAAATACAGCCCGCCAAACCATCCAATCAGGCCCAGAACTGGATTTAAAATATTTTACCCAAGGTGAAATATAAACATGTGCTCAATTCAGTCCAGGTATAAGACAGAAAAAAAAATGTAATCACTGCCAACCATGTATCTCCAAAATACAAATGAACAGAAAATATAAATATGAGAGACGTACCAAAGTGGTTGTGTGAGGCGGGCGTCAGTAGTTCCAGGGGCTGAGCCTTGTTGCCGAGGCCACCTGATGACCAGAAACAGTTGATGTTGAAACTGGACAATAAATTCAGAGACACTGACAGTAAATTCCCAGTAAATTGAGTTTTTCTGATTTTGGTTTCAGTACGGATAAACGTATAGGGTATACTAGGGTGTACTTCAAATACAGAAAAATGTATAGGGTATACTAGGGTGTACTTCAAATATATGAAATATATAGAGTATATAATGGGTAGAGGGGGCAGGCAGTAAAGAACAGCAGGAGAACTGTCATCAACAGTAGGGTTTTCCTGATGTCTTTTTTTTTCCCCCAAACCAGCGTACAGGACTTTCTCTTTATTTACTGACCAATACAAAGTACTGACACAGATACTACTAACGTTAGGCCCCATTGAAAATACATAATATTAGAATGCAATGTTATTTGATTGACGCAGCCCTGTGGAAAATGAGGTGATGCTCAAAGTGTGGGTGCAACTCAACCCAAACCACAGTGAGGACACCACCCAGGAAAATGCTTACAGCAGGTTTTATTCAGCCAAAGGGAAATCTTTTTTTTTTTTTTCGGTATTAAACTGAAAGTCTCAAACTGGAGTTGTTGTTGTATTTAAAAAAATAATTATAATTTTTGTTTAAATAAATAAGTCATAAATAAAATAAACAAAATAAGGGGCAGGTCCACATAAACAGTCCAATACCTTTATCTTGGAGGGTAAGGGAATATTGTGTAAATATAAATATCATGAAAATATGAAAATATGACACGTGAAGTCGGGTCGTTGGACCAGCGAGAGTACCAGTTCCTGGAACATTTTTCTGGGACATTTTTCTACAGTCTGGAGGTCCGTGCTCGCCTCTTTTTAAAGAATGACATATGTCCTTTAAATTGGACTTCCTGGTGGACAGACAGAAGACAAGAGATGGGTCTTACTGGACCCTGACCATGTTTGCTCTGATGGTGGCGTCCTCCATGACCAGCCCACCATCGGACCAATTTAACCATCCGGTTAAGACCAATCACATCCAACCTTCGCGCTTCATTTTGTGAAGTTTCAAAAAGAAACATAAAAAACTCGGTGAGTTTGTAGTTGGTGAACGGAGGTTCTGCCAGACTCCTGTGGCCCATTCTTAATCCCCACTGTAGGCTCTGGGTTCTGGGCTACATTACACACCGAGAGCATTAACACTTTCCAACACGAACCGTTGTTGGGCTGAGCTCCTCTGCTCTGCTCTGCGGCTGCAGTGGGTGCCAGGCCTTAACAGGGAAGAATGTAACATTTATATAAAAAAGAAAATGTGTTTCATGCTTGTTTAACAGTCCATTGTCAGCACAACAATCAGGACGGTCGTAAATTAGAGTTCTCTTTCAAAGAACCGAGTCCATCGCGTCCTCCATTTCCAAGCTCATGCGGTGAAGAAGAGACTGTGAAATAAAAAACACGTGTTCGGCCCTAATGCGTCCTGACTGCTGTAGTCACACAGCAGACTATAATTAACATGCTGACTGATCGTTAACAGCCTGTGACCTAGCATTTTATTTAGCATGGATTCTCCATGTCATAAACAGGGTTTCCTGTGCGTTAAGCATTGCGCGTCAGAATTGGGACGGACGTACGATAACGGTCAAACAGTCATGATGTTATAAGAAAAAAAAAAACAAACAGCACGGTTTCGCCAAAACAAAACCAACGTCGGTGAAGCTGAGTTTACGCTTGGAATTAAATGAGTCCAAATTTACCGACGTATTGTGATTACGTTTATTGTGTCGTATACGGCTCTACACAGATCATGTAGTTACGTTCCCAAATACTGCATGTACTGTATTTCTACCAAGTACTGCAGTAATACACAGCGACACCTGAGGTTGACGTACAGTTAAAAAAAAAATCATTGTTTAAAAAAAAAATTGTATTTCATGAGAATCAATTTGTAAAAAATAATGATTGCACTTCACTTATAATAATAATGAAATTACAAAAAAGATCTTGCTTAGAAAACGCATTCAATCTACACCACCTGTCAGTCTAATGATTGACAGGTGGTGTGAAAGTTAGTGTGAAAACGGTAGATTTGAAAACAGAGAAGTTACTTTGACCAACATCTACGAAGCAGGTCTGACGGAAACAACGAAGGAAGAAGAAAAAAAAAAAACGTGGAGTGGAATAAAGGAAAAAGTGAGACATGACGATGAGAACATGTCTTATGTCACACATGAATGAGCAGCAGCACATGACACACACACACACACACACACACACACACACACACGGCTACAGTGGGTGTTGTTTTTCTGGGTTGCTGGGCACTATTTTCAGCTGAAGCAGACGCTGCATGATTTATACATGATGGAGGGAAGAGTCGAAATTAAATATTCACACAAACAAACCAAACACGAGTTAAAACCTCAGATCTGAGGGAAAGTCAGCTTAAGGAGAGGAGGAGGAGAGGAAAGGAGAGGAAAGGAGAGGAAAGGAAAGGAAAGGAAAGGAAAGGAAAGGA